TTTATATGGTTTACTATTTTTAAATAGTATACATTTTTATACGTGTATTACTGACGGTGGTAGGGCCACGCAACACTTTTGGACGTATGGGTAGGTCCTTCCGGGTAAGTACCACGGCCTCACAGAAGACCGGCGTAAAGTAGAAGTGTTACACTTCTGCGTTTCGTCTGATGAGTGAGGTAGACGGGGCACACTTCATTTTTAGGTGGCGACATATTTTAAACCCTACAGGTGTTGCAAATGTCCATTTGCGGCGGATATCACTTAACATCAGGTGAACCGCCTGCTCGTTTGCCACTTTCGCACATAAAACAAAACATAGTAACACAAATTTCATGTTGGTTTTGTTGATTCGACTCCAGCCACGCGTTGAATCGAGTGTCGGATATTACGTCAATAACTTAACATTATTAAAAAGGGCAAAGTGTGACAAGCAATAATCTAAACATTCTGATAACGACCATACGCGCAGAGCGCTGTTTAAAAATCAATCAAAGACCACGGACCATCGGCGACGCTGCAACAACAAGCCGAACGGGCGGTTATTAAAAAAAACATCGTGAAACAGGAGCAAAGGAAAGCGCGCGTTTTATTGTCAAGCACTTGCGTGACACGTGTGCGAGCGTTGGCACCGCGGTGACTTAACGACGCGGACTCGAGGCTTGTTGCCGCCTGTCTTTTTTCAGGTCTACGCCCGCGAGGGCTCGCGATTTGACAGCGCATTCCGCGCGGCGATTGACAGCGCGCCAATTTTTAACGGGATCGCGTGACGTTTATCATCTGTGCCCCAAAATGGCGAAGCTTTTTTGCTCTATAGAAAAACTATAGAGATATAATTTTTTCTCCAGAAAATCGTAGATTACGACGCGTTAGGTAGCCCAGACGGAATATATTAAACAATGCTATTTAAGATAAGTTATATTGTATTATCTTGTCGAATAGAAAAAATCACTTTGTAACATATACTTGTAACTGATCCTATGCAACCGGGATAATCAGTTTTGCATTTTTAAGTTTTCTTTGATTAATTGTGATTTAAAAAGCTTTAGCTCTGATGCATCATAAAGATGTAAACATGTCATAGGAAGACGTTAAACTATAATAAAATGATAATAATAACTACGTTTATCCAAAATAAAGCTAATTGAGATCATGAACACTTTTTCTTGTTTCTCAAGTATTTGTGATTTATGTTTGACAGACAGAAAACTTATTAGTCTGGTTAATTTTCCTTAACAAAAGGCAAAGGTACTAGATTGTGGCTATTAGGTATTTACGGTGCTAGGGCCACGCAGCAGCCTCGGCTGTTGCACGAATGGGCAGGCTCGTCCGGGTAAGTACCACGACCTCACAGAAGACCAGCGTACGGAAGTGCGTAAGTGGAAGTATGACAAATACTTTCGCGTTTCGTCTGGTGAGTGAGGTAGCCGGAGTCCAATTTTCAAAAGTTTGCCAACGCATCTGTAACCCTGGGGTGTAGCAGATGTCCATGGGCGGCGGTATTCACTTAACATCAGGTGAACCGTCTGCTCGTTTGGCAACTTTGACATAAAAAAAAGTAAGGATTTAATAAAGAGTTATGAAAAACTGCTATTGCCTAAGAAACTTATAATTATGGAAGGACCACAATATTTATGTTTCCTCAACATTAAAACAGAAATATTTTTTCAGATTGACATAACAAGCGAAGGCTCTAAAACAATTCGATGACAGCCAGAAAAATGTTTAAAACCCGCCTTTTTCGTTTTTTTTTCTTAAGAAACGTCAATGTCGTTACGTCGTCATCCGTAATATCACTTTTAAGTTTTACTATCCCAACCGCTTGGTCGTCGCGACTTTTTGTGCAACTTACGTTTTTACGACGTCTTTATTTAAAAGATGCTCTTGACAACTTTTTTCATCCAACAGGGAACGTGTGTTTTCTTGTTTAACGACAACTTTATGAATTATGTTCACAAAACTTATGATGATTTAACTTTATACTTACACCGTAAACCATAAAATTTAAGCGTGGCAGACTAAGTCACGGATCCTTAATGACAGAAGGCGCCATTAGAAAAGTTAAACACGTTTGCAATTTAAAAAATTTAAACTTGTTGAAAAATGTACAAAACGTTTTGCGAGCATTTTAACCTGCGTCCTTCAGGATACACTTCCGCAGGGAAATGCACTATACAAATTAATATCATTTAAATGTAAAATAATTTCAAGTAAAATGGAAATTGGATTTTTTTTTAATTATGACAGCTTATAGATGTCCTACTGCTGGGACTAAAACAAAAAAATATTTCCCAGATATGTGAAGTCCGACAATCCGCAGTGGGGTCGCGTGTTGGACTACGCCCGGTGAAAAAATATTAATTCATGGCACTTTCAGGTTACACGTTTATGAAGGTTAAATGTAATTCATTTAATCTGTATAAATTTCTTTGGTATTAAAACACAAATTGCATCTCTTTCATAAAATATCATTAAATCTCGCTCAGCAATTTATGTTTTAAAGGCCGCATACAAGATTTGCCCTGACTATAAACAAAACTCATCAAAAATAATGACGGGCAAAAAATTTTGTTGGACCTAACATTAACTAATCATTAGCCTACTTTGTTAAATGCTGGCAACGCATTTGCAATTCCTCAGGAGTTGTAGATGTCGTTGCGCGGAGGCAATCACTTCACATTAGGTGAAACCACCAACACGTTTAACACATTTTTACATAAAAAACGGCCCCATGAATCTTTATTAAGAGTATCAAGATGTGCGGAAATTACTCCTGCTCTACACACTTGCACATTCCTTGGTCGCTGCAAATCTTTAACAAATATCTTTTGCATACCTCTTCTGAAACGTTCATAATTGCTTGTAAAAAAGCTTAAGTTTAATTAAAAAAAATTAACTAAGATATACTCATGATTTCTATTTTTTATCTAATAAAGTTGGCGCACAAACAAGTTCTAAGTCACAGAAAAAAGAAACTACTGCTGAATCTACGTTGTTTAAAACGCGCACAAAAATAAATGAACAACAGTCAATCAATAAAAGAGCATTTAATTTGATTACTACAACGTACCAACGAAGAGCTAAGACAAAATTATTTTCCTGCCACGAAATTAGAGAACTTAATTTTAGCGCTTAAGACATGTGGACATAAAAGCTGATCGAAGACAAGAAACAAAATATTAGACGTAAATGAAAATTGGTAATCTATACAACTAAAAAGCACATGTGGTGCGCTAGGGACTCCATCGATCTATTGTATGAAGGACATATTCCGATTCGTGGATTTAAATGGTACTTAAAAATTGTCTGTTTAAAATATATTATAAAATGTTAAATTATGCTTATTAATTTTTCAGGATTTTGGGGATTTTTGTCCAAACTAAACCTGCTGACCTCACCATATTTATATAAAAAAATATCTAGGCCCAAATGTCAGTCTAAATAAAACATGAAAGGCGTTTCACCGCGACGGTGACGTTTCTGCACTTAGGTGAAAAAAGAAACCAATTAAACAACCAAACCCAAAAAAAAACTTTTACCAAATTAATCTTAAATATGGTCACCCTATCTTCAATTTTAGTTAAGCTTTTTCGCTATCCCTAAAGCTCCCGTGTTATTCCCGATCGAAAAACGAACGGGTTCGGTCGTGCCCGGGCTACGCGAGTGACATTATTCGACAAATTTACAATTTAACGTGCCACTTTGACAGCGCGCCAATTTTCACGATATTCTGTGACTTTAAATGGTGACACTTTCTCCAGCGCTTCCTGGCTGTACAGTGACAGTATGGTAAGTTTTTAAAAAAATTCACTTTGTCCTATTCTGCCAGTCAATTTTACATTTTAGTTTTTTTTTAAATGTTTGTTGTATTTTAGATGTTTACAATAATTCTTAGCGTAAAATAAACAATAATTAAAAGGCAATATGCAGGTGAGCTACCTTTTTACATAAAAAAAATCTTATCAATAATTTTTTATTCAAAATATATAATTAAGAATACATAACATAATTAAAGGAAGATTTAAATAAAAATTTAACTGAACTACATAGGTATTTTATTGATAAGATAACAAGAAGATGAAAAGGAGAAATGAAAAAAAAAAAAAATAAACGAAGCTACATCCTACAAATAAAAGCGCCAGAAATAAAATTATATACATTGGCTTTTGGCGCACGCATAAGAAACAAATTCAGTGTTTAATTATTTTATAATTTAGTAAATTATGTCTAGATTTTATCGCTCGCTTTTGTTTTAAAAAACTTCAAATAGTATATAAAGCTTTTAATTAATAGAAACGAAGCAATAAATATAAAATAAATAACATGAACGTTAAGAAAAAAATTCACGATAGAGTTTTTTTACACTTTTAAATAGTTAATCCAACTTCGTATAAATCAAAGGCACTTATGAAAAGTTTTGCTTTGCTTCAGCTTCATAATTATAACGTTAGGGTGACAATATGAAAGACTATTAAATATACTTTTGCATTTTTTAAGTTTTACATGGCTTCTGGAAATTTTAATATTCTATACAGCCAATATGATTTTAACGTTAATATTTTACATATAATTTGAAAAAAAAAAACATTTATTACATTTTGTCCACTTTTCTATTTATTACATTTTATAGTTTAAATTAATACGTAATTTGTGATTAGGATAAAATAATAAACTTCGCATATAAGGATATATAATACAAAATTATTATTAAATGACCATTCGCATTATAAAAGTCAAAAAACGCGAGGACGACATCTTTAGACGCAACTTCCTCGCGGCTCAATGAAGAATAGGTAGTCCGACCGTACACGTGTTAGGAACGTGTTACGCTAACAATAATTAAATTTATAATTCGCAGATGCCGAAGCCACGCGAGATCGTGAACGGAGAAAGTTTATTTTTATAATAATAGCGGAGCCACATGCGTCAAGCGGCGGCCGGGCCACATGTCAATTACTACCTCTACTTAGGGATTACTGAACTTAAGTCGAACTAGCAAGATGGCGGACTATGATATCATACCTTGCTACGACGATGACGAGCTGTTCCAGGAGAAGGCACCAGGCGAAAACGTAAACGACTTACACGCTTACTACATGTCGCAGTTCAATCTAGAGTTGGAGAACGGGAAGAGTAAGCCGAAAGACAGCTTCAAATACGGTGTGGAAGAGAGCTTTGATTTCGAAGTGCTCGATTCTTGGAACGGCGCTGAGGAAAAGACCGACTTCGAGATGATAGACGAAGTGCTCGATGCGAACGTTAACGACGAAAACATTAAAGAGGTTCTATTAGATTTAGACGGAATAGAATTCGAGGGTAGCTACAAAACTGAGTCATCAGTTAAAACCAAAGAAACGGAGGTCAATTCTAACAACGATTACATAGACGATGAGTCTCTAATCGACGAACTGTGCAGGGAAGATGGAGAATCGTGCCTGTCGCCGGAAGCGTTCAACGAAGAGTATCTAAACACGATCGCTAACGAGAACCTGCTACCGTCTATAGAAACGGCTTTCTCAAAACGCTATTGCAACTTCGGCAGCTCTGAGGACTACAGCCCTCAAGAGTACGGCGTCGAAGTGACACAGGTACAGAGCAGCGCAGCCGTTATAAGCAGCTTAGAACATTACAGCTATCCGAACAACATCCTGTACAACTTGGAAAACGAGAAGAAGTACAGCTTGCCAGATACGCCTACCAGTTGCACCGAGTTCAGTTTCGACAGAAATGAAAGGAAGCTCTCCATTTCGGAATCAGTCGGAAGCGACGTCCAGAGCTCGTGCTACTACGATGAGAACTCGCAAAATTTCGACGAGGATGAACTCTTCATCAACCTAGACGACTTCGGTCTAAACTTTGAAAGGGATACCGAAGACTATAGCATTGACGGCAGAAGCAATAATAGAAATGAAGGGAGGGCCGATAAGGAGAGAAACCAAGGTATTGTTGATATTTAGTAACTAAAAATAGCTGTTAAGGTACTTTTCAATAGATATATAGAATATAGAATATGGAATTTTTAGAGTTCACGGTATCTGAAAAGTATTCGGAACCTCTGGAATTAAAACAATGTGGTGAAATCCATGAAGCTGATCAAAGGACAGCGAAAAATCATAGATCTGAAATAAAGTAGATACTTCCCGCCGAAAATCATGTCATCGTATTTTGACGGGAAATATTTTATTTAAATGTTGGCGTCATATTTAGACACATAATTTTTAACTAAAGTTCCATTTCCAAATGAAAACCACAGATAAAGGCACATGTTTACGTTTCAGGTGAAAGGGTTTGTTTATGGGAGAACTGTTTGGAGAGATATCCAAATCAAAACACGTTGGTCGAGCACATAGAGAGAGCTCACGTCAACACGTATAAGGGTACGTTTACACACTTTATTTTTTGAATTAATTGCTGTCCCTTCTTAAATTTTATATCAAGGAGAACATAGAGTATCATACCGTAGACAACAAAGCACAGGAATCAACGAATTTAAAGTCGGTAACAAATAATTTGATACTACTTTTGTACTTTCGTTTTCGTTCGTGTTTAAGACCATTTTGATACTTTTATTTCCATATTTTACTGGTCACCATTTACTCAGGATAGTACCAGTTGGGTTATAAACCATTTAGATTTTAAAAGAGTCATTGGCCTGTAGGTGACGAATTCAGTTGCCTGTGGCGGGACTGCGCGCGCGCAAGGCGACCTTTTAACGCGCGCTACAAACTTCTGATACACATGCGGGTTCATTCGGGACACAAACCGAACCGATGCCATGTAAGTATTTTAATGATTTTTCTATACATGACACATATTGTGAAAATAAAACAATTTTATGGATTTTATCACGTTGAAATTAGATATTTAAATTCCCGACGTTTCAAATCCTTTCTAGCGTTCATGGTTACGGGTAATAGTGAGTTGTTTCACGTCTTAACGTCACAGATAACTCGGGGTACCGGTTTTTACGTTACACATATTTTATACGTATGTATATATATATATATATATATAGTAAAGTAAAGTATCAGCCTATACATGTCCCACTGCGCGGCAAAGGCCTCCTTTGTGCAGAGGGCATCATAGTCCACCACGCGGCCCCACTGCGGATTGAGGGACTCCACGTATCTTCAAAATATTTTTTTTATTATTATTTCGAAAATAAGAAGTTCCTCACGATGTTTTCCTTCACCGTGCACGTGATAATTCAGTACTTGAAATTAACAATTTCATTGGTGCCGACCGGGATCGAACTCCGGTTGCTCGAGTATATTGAATTAAAGGCGAGCGCCCGGACACTGAGCTATCACTCTTGCGCCTACACCCCCAGGCGCAAGAGTCAGAGTCACTATCCACTACCCACGGGTTCGATCCCCACTGCTGGAGAAATATTGTGTGATCAACATAGCGTTTTTCTAGTATATTGGTGTTTATATAATATCAACATTATAAATTTATTTACAAAAGAAAATTAGGTTTAACTACGTTCATCAGATACTTAGTATTCATAATATAAGCTTTGCTTAGTTTGCTTAGTTTGAGACTAGATAACGATGCGTAAAAATGCCCCCGAAATATTTAGGTATATTTATTTATTGAATGAACAAGAACATAACGTTCATATATAAGTCCGCCGAAACTGTCAACGGGCCTAACATCAAACCACTTGTCACAAAAAAGTCATACCACATCGTGTACCGACACAAAAAAAATCATATAACATCTAGTACCGTCACCCAATAGCACCCTGGCTGCGGGAAGGCGTTCTCGCGGCTGGAGAACCTGAAGATCCACGTGCGCTCGCACACTGGCGAGAGGCCGTACGCCTGCCCAGCGCCGCACTGCCGCAAGGCCTTCTCCAACTCCTCAGACCGGGCGAAGCACCAGAGGACCCATTTCAATGCCGTGAGTACACATACGATGCTCGCGTCCTTCTTTGACAGGGTTTTAACCCAGTGGGTCGTTCCCTTTATGTTATACTAGCTGCTGCCCGCGACTACGTCTGCGTAGAATAGGCTAAAGGCGTAACATTCTGACACAAAGAGAGATATACATAAAATATGTATATAAATTATAGGCTATGTCTTATTCTGATGTATAAGCTATATTATTATAAAGTTTCATTAAAATCCGTTAAGTAGTATTTGCGTGAAAGAGTAACAAACATCCATCACATAACAAACATCTTAATATTAGTTAGGATATCACCAATGGACATCTGTCTATGAGTGGAGATATACATATAACATAAAGTGACAATATATAAAATAAACTGACATAAAATATAACATCTTCATATAACGTCATCATCATCATCGTCTTGTTGACACAAGACCTGAGGGCTTCTCTTTTTCACGTAAAGATTTGTAGTAAGAAGTGTAGCAATTACACTTTACGCCGATGTGCAAGGTGGTACTTCCCCGGGCGGAACTGCCCATTCGTGGATTAGCTAAGACTACAAGTATCATCATTCATTCATTCAGTAACACCAACCAAAGTGGCACACCCCTAATCTCTTTCAAATCCATACATTTCTATGCGTGAATGAGGCACGTTACATGTATTGGCACTAGATAGAGAGTTACCTTGCAGAGGCCGTACGCGTGCGGCGCCACGGGCTGCGGCAAGCGCTACACCGACCCCTCCTCCCTGCGGAAGCACGTCAAGTCGCACCCGCACGTGGCCAGCGTGCCGAGAGCCTGCGCGCCGCCCAGGCCGCAGCGCAGGCCGGACCAAGAGCAGCTGGTGCCCAGCTCGCCGGCGAAACTAGCGACCCTGCGATGCATAAGGGACAAGCTGACAGTACCACGGCTGCACAAGCTGTAGCGGAAGACCGCTTGCTAAAATGGACCATACATTTTCGAAGCTAACTTCGAAAATATACTATAATCATATAGTCCTATTATCTCCTGTAAATTATAGTACTAATACTATAATGTACAGGAGATTATAGGACGCATTCGTTGTTGACGTATCTTATTACACGTGTGCTACGTGCTACGAGCTACGTGTCAAACTTAAAATGTTAATTTTCTTTGTAGATAAAAAGAACAAACACTTTCGGCGCTGTGGGTTTCGAATCATAGTCTTCTCGGTGACGCTTTACCAATTAATCTAAGCGGCCGATGACCTCACGGCGCGAAAATCTCGAACTACTACGTTTTTTTTAATTTTTAGCAATGCTTGGCGCCATCTAGCGTGTACACATTACAGTATGAAACACGTTACAAAGAACAATTAAGGATGAACATTTGTAACGAGAGATGTCGCCTTTGCTCTTAAAATGGCCTTTAAGAGGTTCGATTACCGAAGTCGTTTTAGTTTTTTTTATGCTATTAACTGCAAGGAAACAAGTTATACTTATGAAAAATAATTAATGTAGATCCTTATGATCCGCATCTGTCATTGATGATGACCTTTTTCATAATTAATGGATGATGTAATTATTGCACATTTAATATATTAACTGTTGTCTTTGGTTGCCGTCATTGTAATGTTGGCAACGATTATTAAGGCCCCTGTACACATTGGGCCAATGCATTGGACGTTGGCCGGCAATCCGAATTGTGTCGGTTTTTTGTACACACATCAAAGGATCTTATCGTCTTACAATGAGCAGTAGGCAAATGTGTGAACAGCTACACACTGGGAACGCAAACGCTTTGGCCCAATGTGTTGGGCCAATGTGTACAGGGGCCTTTAGACGGTATTGGCGTAATGTACATAATTATTGCTCAATGATGTGTAAGACTGTAAAAAGTAAATCTGCTCAAACATTGTAAATATATTTACAAATTAGCTCATGTAAGATTATTTTGTGTTAAAAACACAATACGTTGAACTGGTTAGCGTGGTCCAATTATGTAATTAATGTACGTTTCTGATGTTGAGAGTTTAATGTTTAATTATTAAGAAAGATATTATTAGATTTATAAAGTGTCTAACACAAACGAACTCTTGACAATGAAAATTTTGTTCAAGATTTGAATTTAATACGGAAATGTATTGTGTGGTACTTTAGACATTCTAATAAAAGACATGTAACCTTATGAAAGATAATTTTCGAAGATATTTGGTTCTTCGAATAGATCCTCGTGCTGGACTAGTTGTGAGTAAAAATGCGATTATTAAAGAGAAATTCTATACATATGAAATTTCTCTTTATAATTTAAGTCTCGAAAATAAGGTTTTACACTATACTGAAGACAGTAAAAATTACTACATAATACAATTCCGAATTCCTATGTTTTAATATAAGAAATTATTCCAAAGCACCTACCATTTGCTCAATTAGTATAAGCTAAAATAATTTTTTTTTAGTTATTTCCAATCGCTATGAAAGATGAAGTTATGTCAAGCTTATTTATAATAATTATAATCTTAAGTGCATATACAAGTTTTGTTTATTAAACAATGAATAGTATAATAAATTTATATTGTATCATTGAAATATTTTAAATACCTTGTATATAATGAAGTAAGAAAAAATCTTTCGTCCGATATATAGCTGCCATACATGTGTATGCGTCGAAAAGTATAATAGTGAATAAAATATCCTATTTATTAATGTTTTTAAACATAACTCCACGAAGATTTAAATCCACCTCCATTTTAGTGATAAAAAATCGAAAAAACGAGAATAATCACCACTAAATGTTGTCGTAAAATGTTCCCGCATCTTCTTTGTTATTCGCTTACGCTGTTTATAGGAAATTATGCCCATTATGCCCAGCAGTGGGATGCTCGGGTGGAGGCCCAATTTTTAGGGATGGGGTGCAACTAATTTGTAATTTTAATTACATAATTATGTACAAATTTGCATGCTTTCCAAAGAATCTCCTTGCGTTTAGTGTTAGCTTTAAGTCTTCCATTCTAAGATCTCCATTTTGCTCATTTTTTTTTAAATAATTATCGATCGTATTTAAGATTTAAGACTGACAGATGCTGTCATTTATTATGTAATAGATGTGAGATAATAAATGTTTCATTCTCTCAATTGTTGTGTTCTTTCATTTTCCTGCAAAAATAAACAAGTTATGTATTTATATTATTACATGAGTACTTACTTATAAGACTAACGCATTATTAAGACATTTGCCTTTTTATTAAACATATAACCCATTGTAAAGCCTGTCGGCCTGTCGGCGTGGCTATCAGCCGTTTAGCTCAGTGGCTAAAGCGTCAGGCCGCGAATGCCGAAGACGTGGGTTCGATTCCCACAGCGGCGACAATCTTTTCGTACTTTTTCTACATATTTTCGTAATGTAAACCTTTTGTCATAGCTTCATGTGTCAAAAGGCCGTGTAAAAGCTCGATCGCATACGCATGGTATATTCGGGTACAAATACAAAAACCGGTCAAGTGCGAATCGGTCTCGTGCACGAAGGATTCGTTACTATTATCTATTACTAGCTGCCCCGGTAAACGTTGCTTTGCCATATAAATTATATGTAGGGTAGAAAGAAATATTGGGGTGGACCACCCTTAACATTTAGGGGGATGAAAATTAGATGTTGTCCGATTCTCCACCCTGGCTGATATGCACACAAAATTTCACGAAAATCGATCGGTTTCAACGGTTCGGTTCGGTCGAGCCGTTTCAGAGGCGTTCAGTTACAGACACCGTGACACGAGAATTTTATATGTTAGATAATGTCTGTTGTATGGGAGGAAATATTTTTCTTATTCTATTTTTTCAGTATTACTTTTTATATTGGAAACAGAAATATCTATCTGTGAAAGTTTCAACTGTCTATCACGGTTTATGAGATACAGCTTGGTGACAGACGGACAGACAGATAGAAAGCGGAGTCTTAGTAATAGGGTCCCATTTTACTTATTGGGTACGGAACCCTAAAAATGCGTGGTCGTCTACATCCTGGTTCAGGTATCCATTTGATTTGACACGGTTAGCTCAACCACATATAACTTGTATTTTTGCCATGGAAACGCAACACCCGATTGTTCTATGTTTAATAAACTCAAGCTAACCGAGTTTAATCTTTATGAAATATTTATTTAAACGAAATATTTATCGGTAACTTTTTAACTAGCTCCTCAATTGATAGAGAAACATCTTAGAGAACGGTTTCTCTAATCAACCACCAACAAATCTAGGAAAACATACATGAAAATACTTCTCAGATATGAAAGCTCCGTCTATCCGCCGTTGCATATTTAATAGCCGATTATTATTTAAGTCCTTCTTTAAAGAGAGCCTATAAAATAAATATACATTGACTGAGATATTTGAAGTTGATTTGTTTATTTGTTGCTAATAATGTTTTACTTATTTCAAGTTTTACATGTCCTGATACCTTAGTTTATATCCATTAGATAAATCTCTACAACAACATTTTTGCAATAAAGCAGAATGTTTTTAGTATGATATATTTAAAAAAATGTTAAAATCGCGTAGTTCTTTTGTATTAAAAAGTTCTATTATCAGGAATTTTAGACACTAGAAAAATATTTATTGGTGACTGTTAAATGCGTTGATGAAAGCAACAATACCAGTAACTTACTATGAGTTAAATAAATGATTGTTTTAATGTCGAAAGTTGCCAAGCAAGCTGATGGTTCACCTATGTTAAGTGAATACCGCCGGCCATGAACGTATGTTACACCCGAGGGTTCCAGATGCGTTGATAATCTTTTGAATATTGGGCTTCGGCCACCTCACTCACCAGACGAAATGCGAAAGTATTATACTTCCACTTTACGCTGGTCTTCTGTTGTATATTGTCAATATATATAAATAATTTAATGTAGTTATTGCACCTATCATGATTTCTCACGATGCAGCGGGTTGACCGGGAGAGAATGCCAAAAGGCATTAAGATCGCCCTTTGTTATCTTTGTTTAAGGTAATTGCATGAATAAATAAATAAAAAAATAACCCTAGATGAGCCTGCCCATTCGTGAAACAGCCGAAGATACGCACCCCTATAAGACCTAATTAGTGCTATCACAGTTATTTTGCCGGCATCGGAAATCGCAATAATGTCGCGCCTCGTGCCCGACCCATAATTTTGATTAGACAGACGGAAATATCCTTACTAATGTTATAAACGCGACAGTTTGTATGGATGGATGTTGTACTACTGAATGGATTCTAATGAAACTTTGCAATAATATAGCTTATACATTAGAATAACACATTGGTTATAATTTATATTTTATGTATATCAGACTTCTGTCTGAATGTTACGCCTTCAGACTATTCTACGCAGACGTAGTCGCGGGCATCAAATAGTAATCAATAAATCAGCCCGGCATTGGCCCAAGCGCTGACTCCTACCTACAAAATCTCGATACATTGTTGTTATCACAGAAAGTACTCTATACGGGGTCAACTGGGCGCACGTGTATTTCCATATATAAGCCGTGGACGGACACCAGTGCGGCAGAAGTACCTTCTCGATTGGATAACAACATCCAAGGGCCAGCTGTAACGAACCAGACGAGATGAGGATTTTGGTGCTGACGGCGCTAATTGGTGAGTCGATTCTACAGTAACTTTCAAAACTGTCCAAAATTGTTTTAAACCGACTTCAAAAGGCGGAGGCTCTCAACTCGACTGTTGTTTGTTACCTCAGAACTTACAATTGTGTGAACCGATTTTGATGATTCTTTTTTACTTGAAAGCTGGTGCTTCCCATGTGGTCCCATATTAATTTCATTGGTATTGGATCTTGGGCTCCGGAGATACTTAGACAACTCCTGAAAATCGATTATAAAATGAATACGGAGCGAGATATTTGAAGTCGGTTTTGTTTTTCGTTAGTAAAAATAGTTTTGTTTTCGTCATTAAGCATGTTAATTGATATTGCCAGAGACATTCTTTTCTTTCTAAAGTGTACTAGTTGTTGTTAAGTAGTGTGTAATTGAACGTCGTAGCCAGCCTTTTCATCCAGCTTGTATAAGTCCGACTTTGTATAAGACCCAGACATGACAGTTTGTGAGCCTCATGTGGTGAGTCTACCAGGGAGCCATTTGGTGAAGTGCTTTTTGCTTGCAAGAAATCTATGTGTTGGAACACTAGATTAACACTGAAATATAAGTAATTTTTGATCATTTTATGGTAATTAGATAATTAATTAATCTATTAATCTATTGTTTTACATATTTATGTCATTACCGGGTGTCCTAGCCGTTTAGGTTCAGATAGAGATTTAAGTCAACATTCGAATTTTAAATAAACGATAAAACTAGGCGTTACCAAAACTAAAACACCTTAATTTTATTTAAATAAATAGTGTACATATGAAGCTGTAATGACAAGTGCTAGGAATTCAAGTAAACTTTTCCCTTACAGTCGCCGTGTCATCTGGCCGACTAAGCAGCGATAGCAAAGTCGATGAAGCAACGCAGTGGCCATGGCAAGTCGGCAAACTGTACCGCTACGACGTCGAGTCACACACGCTGGCGCGTCTACAAGAGGGCGCTAGCACCGGTAACGCGTTCAGAGCACGCTTCGTCGTCCGCGCGAAGGGGCCTGGTCTTCTGCAGGCCAGGCTGGAGAACCCCCAGCATGCGCAGGTGCACCAAGACCTCGGACCGAACGGGGAACTCCCCGAGGATCTGAAGTACCAGCCGGCGCAGAATCTCGACAAACCGTTCGAGATCAATGTCGAAAGCGGTCGCGTGCTGTCGCTGAACTTACCCGCATCGCTGCCACTAGCTCAGGAGAACCTGCTCAAGGGTCTCATCGGCGCCCTCCAAGTAGACCTGACGCCGCATAGAAACGTCCGCAGCCCTCACGACACCTACGACAAACAGATCCAACAAGGCCTTTTCAGGAAGATGGAGACCGATGTCACAGGCGATTGCGAGACACTGTACACCGTGTCACCAGTTGCATCTGAGTGGCGACGTGAGCTTCCTAGGTTCGCGTCCGAAGAGGAGCCCATTGAAATCACCAAGAGCAAGAACTACGGCCACTGCCACCACCGCGTTGACTACCACTTCGGCGTGCCTGATGGAGGCGAATGGTCTGGAACTGCACACAAGACCCGTGAGGAGCAGTTCATCAAGCGCGCCACCGTTGCCCGCATCCTCGCCGGCAAACAGGGCCCCATTTACAAATCTGAGACCACCAGCACTGTTCACGTGAACCCTCACTTATACGGCAAGCAAAAAGCTGAAGTGCACAGTCACGTGCAATTGACCTTAGCTTCGCAAGAGCCAGACAATGAACCCGAATGGGAGAAACCTGAAGGTAGCCGTCCAATCCAAAACCTCTTGTACTCTTTGACAACCAAACAGGTGAATATTGATGAAAGCTCTTCTTCGTCTTCTTCCGAATCTCAAGAGAAGTACAACCCTCAGAACCAGGAACTCGATTCAGCTAAAAGTAGATCTCGTCGCTCCTCTAGCCCTAAAAAGATCGTAGCGGTAAACAAAGTCGTCATTAAAAAACGTTATGAGGGCCGTTCCGGTTCATCCAGCTCTTCAAGCTCCAGCGAGTCTTCTTCTGCCTACGTTAACGACGACGTTCCCCGTAGCAACGAACCAGCATACGCTGCTCTATACATGAACCCCCAACCACATGGAGACAAGAAGCAAAATCCTATGAACGCTCAAAAACTGGTCCAAGAGATCGCCCAGCAACTGCAAAATCCTAGCAACATGCCCAAAGCTGATTTCCTTTCGAAATTCAACATATTGGTGCGTGTTATTGCCTCAATGAGCTCTGGACAGCTTAGTCAAACTAGCCGCAGTATCGAAATTGCGAAGTCTTCGAATAACATCGTCAAATCTGATATGTGGATGATTTATCGCGATGCGGTGGCTCAAGCCGGTACACTACCAGCATTCCAGCAGGTCAAGACCTGGATCCAATCGAAGAAAATCCAGGAAGAGGAAGCTGCTGAGGTGTTGGCTACTTTACCTTACACCCTGCGCTACCCAACTAAGGAACTTATGACCCAATTCTTCGAACTTGCTATGAGCGATGATGTTCGCCAACAGCGATATCTGAATACAAGCGCTTTGATAGCTGCTACTAAGTTCATCAATATGGGCCAAGTCAACAATGATACCGCCCACTCTTACTATCCCACTCACATGTACGGACGTCTATCGCGCCAACACGACGCTTTTGTCCTCGAAGACATCCTTCCACGCCTCCAACAAGAATTGACCCAGGCCGTACAAGAAGGGGACTCTCACAGGCAACAAGTTTACATTAAGGCTATTGGCAACTTAGGCCACCGAGCTATTCTAGACGTGTTTGCACCATATCTCGAAGGCAAAATCCCTGTTACAAACTTTATCCGTACCCAAATGGTGGACAATCTACACATTCTGGCCCAACAGAGAGACCGCAATGCCCGTGCAGTTCTTTACAGCATACTTAGAAATACCGCAGAACCTTATGAAGTAAGAGTCGCTGCAATCAAGAACATCTTCATGACCCGCCCCAGTGGTCCAATGATGCAAGCGATGGCTGAGATGACTCACGACGACCCAAGCATTCAAGTCCGTGCTGCTTTGAAATCTGGCATTGAATCAGCTGCTGCTTTGAAGAGTCCCCGATACTTCGAACTGTAAGATTCATAAATATGATTTATGTTTGAATTCTTTTTCTCGTAAATTATGTATCTCTTAATTTTGTATTAATATATTACGTATTACAGTGCTAGAACTGCACAAGCGGCTAAGGATATGCTCACCAAGGAAAAATTCGGAAATCAATACTCGACTAAATTCTTCGACGAATACTACGATGACGAAAACGAGAATACCATCCTAAACATCCTATCGCATATTGGCAGTGAAGATAGCCTTTTGCCTAAATACTTGAAATACTCGCTCAAGAACAAAGCTAGTGGATGGAACAAGGCAAATACCGTAGGTATTCATGAATTGACTGAAATAACGCAATGAGTAAATCATTCACGGAATTATTTGTTACAGATCTCTGCTTCGGTCTCAAGCATCCAACGACTTATGAACTTCGTCAGGGAACAAATGTATGGCAACAGCGATAAGAGCTCCAACTCCAATTCAAACCATAAATACTCCGCCGAGAAAATCGCTCAGATGCTGAACATTAACCGAAATGACGAAGAACCGCTAGCAGGATCCTTCGAAGTGAACTTTATGAATCAAGACAGATACTTTGCTTTTGGTGAAAGTGATTTGAAAGAATTAGCCCAAAGCATAAAGGAATACGCTAAACAACTCGAGAAAGGAATGGACAAACATTATACTAAGGTTTTGAACCAGGCCCAGGTTTCTGTTATGTTCCCAGTTGCTACAGGTATGCCGTTCATCTTCAAATACAAAGAACCAACAGTTGTTCACATTCAGAGTAAGGCTACAACCCAATTCAACTTGCAATCGGAAAAGGAGTACTCTGGATCCATCGACAAGACAATTCACTTCACATACGCCAGAAACATTGACGGTAGCGTGGGTTTCCTGGACACTCTTGCTAATCAACACGCTAGTGCTGGAGTCATTAACAAAATTCAGCTGTACATTCCAATTAAGATGCAAATACAGATGAAGCGTGGCGAAATTAAAGTGGACGTGTCGCCGCTTGAGCCTGAACAAGATAATACCATTTTCCACTACAGTGCCTGGCCATACACAGCCAATCAAAAGAAAGACACTCTTACGCCGATATCACAGGACCCTACAACAAAATTGGTATCACGCAGCAACAAAATCGTATCGCTTGATGCTAAGTACGGCCAGCAAGTCGGTGTGGTATTCCAACTCCAAGGTTACTCGTATTCCAATGACTTTAAGAACGTTATCGACAAGTTCAAATGGGACAATCTTGTTTCAAGCATGGCGTCAGCAATTTACCAGAAAGATGTAGCCCAGACTCATTTCAACTTCAAGTACCTTGGCAAGCAATCAAAGAATAAAGCTATCTCATTTACGGCTGTCTATGGTAAGAAATCTGAAATATTTTTGTAATTTTGAAATATAAAACTTTGATCTACAACTACACTTTTTCTCACAGACAAATACTACAACCAGAAGCAAGATGGTCAGCAGAATCCCGTCGCATCAGAAATTAAAGACGTAACACCAAACAGCGAGGAGCGCCGCAAAGAATTAGTCAAGCGAGCAGTGACGGGTATTAACACAGCTGAGGCTGACGTTATCGACCTAAGTCTATCATTTGATGGCGCCCAGAAAGTGGAATTCGTGGCAACTGCCGCTATCGGTGAAAGCCCCGTTGACGCTAAGATTCAGTATGCCATTTTTGCTGGTAAGAATTCGCCTCAACAAGGTAACAGCCAAATCAACGCCGTCGGTAAGCAAGAGAAACCCGAAATATCCTATTTCAACTACCAAGAGGCTCTGCAAAAGGAATTAAGGATACCCTTCGATTTCGACATTCGCTATGGGCCAAGTGGAAACATTCATATTAATGGACAAGCTGAACGCAGCAATAAATACGCAGAAGCCCTTAAATCTCACCCTCTAGCTAAGCAGTGTGATCAGGAAATGGCTCGGGGTAACCAATATCAACACGCATGCCACAAAGTGATCGTCATGTCACAGGCTCCGGACAATTTCAAGGCCTCAGTTATATATAAAGATGTGAGCCCATATGTCAGAAACTTGGCTTTCCAAGCGTACAAGATTGCGGAAAACCTCGGCTATTGGTACACTGATGTGAATCCTTTCAAGACTATTCCTGATGGAAAACTTGAAATCACTGCCGAGGCTTCTTTCCTGACCAACTCTCTGAACTTGGCATTGGGCTCCAGATATGGCGAAGTGCATGTGAAGAACATGCCTATTCCTGAGGTGGCGGTCAGCGCTGCATCTGCTTACAGACCAGTAAACACCTTTGAACGGGTCTACAATCACTACACCAGACACCAATATCAGCGTAAGTAATTACTCAAAAAGATGTATATTATGTAAAACTTATTTCGGCACACTTTATTTACTCCTTAATATTAACTTTTAGCTTTACATAATTAATTGTATCTATCATAAGTATTTTGATTATATTCATAAGACAGTCATCCGATATTACAATTTTATAATAATTCTAGTTTATAATATATAAATAATTTATAATATAATAAACAAGATTACATTTGTTTTTAACAGCTCACTGCTCCATTGATGGATCTAAAGTGAAGACCTTTAGCAACCGCAGCTATGATTATCCATTGACGAGTTCATGGCATGTGGTCATGCAGGAAGACGCCGGTCAATCAGGGGAACAGTTCGTTATTTTAGCAAGGAAACCTAACGAACAACAGCAAGAGATATACATTTCGTACAAGTAAGTTACAAAACTTTTTCCTTAGGCATCTATTTATACTATTTTAATATTATAATGGAAGCGATTCAACAAATTGAATAAGCATAAGTTCTTACTCACTTATTAACGTGCATGGTTTCCTCAGACCTCGAAGCGGCAAAGACTTGGAAATTGAGGTCAAACCTGCCCCGGAGGGATCGCAGAAACACCAAGTCAAGGTAAACACTAACGCAAAGAAGGTTTCGGAGGGCGATTTGACCATCTACTGGGACGACGAGGAGGAGAAGCCCGTGCTGCAGTACTACACCGAGTCAGATGGCTCGCTTTTGTTAAATATTCGTGAGGACAGGCTCCGAGTGATGTACGACGGCCGCAGATCGGTAGTCCTTAACAAGGACAGTCGCAACAGCACCCGAGGTGTTTGTGGGCAAATGAGCGGGGACCGACGTGATGACTATCTGACTCCAAACGGTCTCGTAGATGAACCTCAACATTACGGAGCGTCGTACGCCCTTGAGAGTGAAAACAGTGATCCCCAAACCAAACAACTGAAGGAACAAGCGAAAGAGAAGGCGTACGCACCAGAAAACCACTACACGACTATTCTTCGCTCCGATGAAGAATGGAAGAACGCGATGCAGGCATCATCCGAGGAGGACTGGGGCTCCCAGAGCGTCTACAGATCGAGAAGCTATTCGAAACTGCGTGGACTCTGCAAACTGCAACAGCAGGTGCAGTATTATGAGAACCATGGCGAGATCTGCATTACTACCAGCCCGCTGAACGCCTGCCAGTCCCAATGCAGCGGCGACGGCTACAAGGTACAAGCTACTCAAGTGGTGTGCAGGCCCAAATTGGACGCCCAGTTCCAAACGTACAGGAACCAGATTCAACAGGGCCAGAACCCAAAAGTCACCGGGGTTCCGCAGAATAAACAATACAGGGTACCCAGCTCTTGCAAGGCGTAAACCATCATTTTGATCATAATCAGACCTGGCATGCTAAAGGATTGAATACTATAATTTTTAATATGCTTGTAACTCTATAATGTATTGTATAACATATATGTTCGGATTGTATAGTAGTTATTTATTACAAAAATTATTTGTAAATATTTATTTCAATGTATGTATTTATATACTGATTAATATAGTATTATTACTTACATAAAGAAGATGTAGTAGGCAAATTTAAAAATAAAAAAAAAAATATAAAATATATATATTTATGAAGAAATATAAGATTCGAAAAATAAAACTTTTCTTTCATTTACAATTATTTCAGTTTGAATTACACAGTGTAATATTCATATTTAGATAAAATTTTAAATTTAGGTTCAAAATATGACACGACCAAAGTTAGAAGAAAAGCCATTAAAATTAAAAGCAATTGGAATTAATTAGTAGGTACCTACATGGTTGCACATGATGATCATGCACAAGATGGATCGAAATAGCCTTCCTGATTTTATTTTCATAACCATGGTATTTTGTGCAAATTATAATTTAATATGAGAAAGCTCATCTAAGTTTAAACGAATTTAGTAATATAGATTTTATATACATTAGAAGGAAAATAATAAAATAAAAACACGTTTTATATCACTTTGTATTTAGAATGTATTATTTTACTTTTCGTAAGAATATTTATGATAATATTTTTTGCAGTTAAACCAAAACTGTAGCACAGATTTTATGTTTAAATTATAAAATATTAAAAGCTTTTGTGGACGCTCAATTCCTCTTTCCTGATCCTTTGAAATGGGAACGCTGCCATAAAGGATGTTTTATGTGTATTTTTGTACCAAAACACCGCATCACGAAATCAGCTGTTTGTCAGTGAACTTCAAATACAAGTCGCATGCGTTTCAGTCAGTAGTACAGTAGCCAATTGATCGATCTCATTCACTTTAAAATATTATTAGTGTAATATTATAAGTTAAAATTTTCTATGTAATAAGCCCGTATCTGTTATGTGATTGGAGTTATTTCGAGTCTGTGGTTAAACGTGCACTTTAAATTTCGAACTTTCGAACATTTACTTGACATTTGGTAAGTTTACTTTATTCATCTTTGCTTTTTCTGCAACGAAAAAGAATTATAAAAATAGTCCGTAAGATTGTTGACGTTAAATATTATACGGCCATGAAGAGTGAGATCTTTTTAGGAAACGTCTAAATTATTTATATTAATCAACTTTCACCTCTTTTTAAAAATGTCTTGTATTTATTAGTACTATTGACGATTTATTTTCAACAGTTGAAAAAACAGTTACGATAAAGATCATCATGGCAAAGTTGTTCGTTATTTGTTTATTTTATGCTATGAATTTTTCTTACTCATAGGTTTTTTATGTGCTACGTCAATTTAACGTCCAACAAGAAACCTTTGGGCTATATTTATTTAAAATAAATGTTTTCATTGCTGTTATCCATTACATGTCTGGGATTTGATAGTTAAGTGGTTTATATATAAAAATTTAAGTAATTTAATTGCCATAACAAACATTTTTTTTGAACCAATATACCTATATATAAATATAAAAAAAGTCTCGCGTCCGGTTTCTGAAAAACTGATCATCGTAAGAAGTCAACTAACCAGTTGTCAAATGGATTTTGAATTGTTATTTGAGTTGCCAAACGGATTGTTAAACTCTCTGAATTGATCAGAGTGACCTTCTTAATTATCAGAATGATCAATTCAAAGAGTTTAACAATCCTTTTGGCAACAATTTTTTTTACGTGAAAAGTTGCCAAGCGTGCAGACTGTTCACCTGACGTTAAGTGAATACCACCGCCCATAGACATCTGCTACACCAAGTGTTCCAGATGCATTGACAACCTTTTGAAAATTGGACTCCTGCATTGGCTTTTGTTTCGGTGAGGTTATGGTACTTACCTGTATGACCCTGCCCATTTGTGCAACAGATGAGGCTGCTGCGTGGCCCTACCACCGAGAACTCAAATAACATTTAAACATCCATTTGACAACTGGTTAGATGACTTCTATGATGATCAGTATTTTAGAAACTGGGCGTTAGAAATTCCTTTATCACCACTCAGATTGTACGCAGACACACAGACATTTGTACTATTTTATAAGGGAGGCTCTTTAAGTGCTGTTAGTTCTTCAATACTGTTCACTTAAGAAGACATATTGAGAATTTCTCCAAATTTTTGATTAAATTAATATTCATCACACGTGAGATGGTGACACAGGCAAGATAATGTAATTACTCTAATAACCTATATATATATCCCTAGGTCCCTTGTTTAAATTGCCATATTACTGTGTGATGCTCTAATAGCTATTATGGTGAAATATCTAGCTTTAATTAAAAAAAGGCCTTGGTTTTTCTGAATTATGAAAAATTCTTATAGTTTGTATAGATCTGGCCAGAGCGGAATAAACAACATAAGAAATTTGCAATTTTAATACTGGTTTTTATTTCTTTTTTAAAAAAAATATATTATCTTATAAATTGATTTGTCAGTTGGAGCAGTTGGTAGATTTCAGCAGCACTGATTGTGGCCTCTATCATTTACTTGAGAAGGACATCTCCAAGATCATTATATCATGAGATCATTATATAGAATATTCATGGAGATGGAATATTTTAGTTTTGGGCACATGTTTATGACTAATTTGTGTTTAACCCTTTTGTTACACAGGCTATGTATTTGGGAAACAAGGTTATTTCAACACATTCTCATTGTATCATCGAGAGCCGTGATAGCTCAGTGTCCGGGCGCTCGCCTTTAATTCAATATACTCGAGCAACCTGAGTTCGATCCCCGGTGCCGGCACCAATGAAGTTTTTTAACTTTAAGTGCTGACTTATCACGTGCTCCGCGGTGAAGGAAAACATCGTGAGGAAACCTGCATATTTTCGAATTAATAACAAAAAAAATATATATTTCGAAAAATATGTGAAGTCCGCCAATCCGCAGTGGGGCCGCGTGGTGGACTATGCCCTGATACCCTCTGTATAGAGGAGGCCTTTGCCCAGCAGTGGGACATGTATTGGCTGTTACTTTACTTTACTTTACTCAATGTATTTGTATTAAATAAAACAATATTCTATTGTTCTGCTTTTGATGTCCTTAAAAACATTCAACACAATGTTGCAATTTGTGCTTGATTATTGAATATTTTGTCAATGATTTATAAAAAATTGTTTGATATATTATTAATAGTATGAATTACCCTCTACATAAATATTTTAAGTATAGACATATTTGATAGAAGTGATCCTAGAATAAATTTTTACTTTGAACAAATTTTTCATCCCTATTGATTAATGATAATGGAAAGGAATAAATCAGTCCTGTACTAAGTATTTTAATTAATATCATAGTTCTTTTAGAAGCTTGAAACAAGTTTCCGTTTACTGGATTAATAAAATGCAGAGGAGTCCATTTTTCAGATTCGAACACTTATTCAACTGGCCATTTTTCCTATATGAGGAAATGAGTGTAATAGTGGCATACCACTTGAGTGATATGAATAGACCATCTTGATGGAGTAAATATGACAGCTCCATAGTAAGCCAGCATAAAGCAATAGTTTTATTGCATTTTGTTTTGTGAGCAAGGTAGGCCCACTGAGCTTTGGCAATGCAGCTATGATTTCAAAGGTACTGTGAGTCGATACCCTGACCATCACCATTTTTTACATATTTGTTAATAGAAATTATGATGAGAAAAGATTACTCTGCCAAACCCTCAGATGTTCTATCATCTATGGAATAGACTTCTGATGTTTCCTAAATTTTAACAGATTTATCCAATGAGTTGTACAATAATCTATTTGAGCTGGATGTATCGTTTTAGTTTTTTGGATGGTGCATTTTACGTACGTATAATTAGTATCAAAGTTTCTCTTGATTTATGTATAAATGTATGTTAAAATATATTGATCCCTTGAGCACATTGTCATTTGGCTCCTCATTGTAATTGAATTTGGTCTCCGCTCAATTAACCGCGGGTTGATTAGTGCACCTATAGATAAGTCATAGCAAAATCACTAACTTGTAGACTAGGCGCTTAGACATTTTAGTTGAACAATGGTATGTCCAATGTTAGCCGTCGAGCTTAATATTAAAATGTAGTAAAGGAAATAGACGGTAGAGTTCAAATCTGGTTGCCTGTTACTGTTACCACATGCAAAATAACTAATAAATCATAATCAAGATAATATCTTGACTATGATTTATTGGCCATATTTTATGGTCATATTTGAAAAGGGAAGTGCTTATTCTGGATTACGAACGGAAATACTGAGAGATTAACATTTTGTCCCTTCAACGAGATGACGTGAAGGTGTACAGCCGACAGGAAACTATATTAACAGTAAACACGTAATATTAAAACATACAGTATGACGTATGAAATTAATGAACGTATTTTACCTTCAAACAACTACTAAATTGACTTTAAATTTCATTACGAATTCGCATACAAATCACAAACTATTTAATATAATAATTCAATAACGAATTTATATTAAAAAAAAAATCATTAGTTGTGTGCGCATAATTGAAATTTTTATCTTCAAATAATCAATGTTAAGAACTCGCTCTTAGTAAGAACTGCGAAATTCAGCTCTTAAACGGATATCTTTTCTTCGGAACTATTTCGAAACAACTCTATTGCAAAAAATTCGCATGGGTCAACCTTAGCATTGAATGTATTTTATAATTTTTAATTATTTACTTGTCGTTTTTAACTTATCTGATAATAAAAGCTGTAATTATGTGAAACATTTTTTATTTGATTGAAACGGGAACCCAAGCAAACTGTAATACTTTTCATTACAGATGAAATAAAATGATGACGCTATACTTCGCCGATAGATGGTGTTAAAACAAAATATTTCATTGATAACAAAGTTTTAGATAGAAAGGATAGATGGCAGGGATGTAATCGAAGAAATATATTATTACTCCTTTATCATTAGTATTATCA